GGGTCACAACCCACCAGCGTTTGATGCACAAGATGCCTGCATGACATGCAGGGGAGAGAAAGGAAGAAACAAGGTACAAGATCAACCACATGGTACACCCTGCCATACATCAAAAACATTTCAGAAGCAGTAGAACACAACGTCCGAGATCTGCATAACGGGCACTGCACATCGCACAGGCTACCATACGAGGACAAATCACGCATTGCCAAGATTGCCTTGGAGGAGGAAGATATTTTTAATGTAGTCTACCAGATCCCCTGCATGCATTGCCCTTGTGACTATGCAGGACAGACAAGAAGGAAGCTGACAATTAGATTGCCAGAACGCAAGTGAGTGGTCAGACGAGGTGAACCGAACTCATTGGTAGCCTTACATTGGGACAAACAAGGACCCACATATAATTTTGCAGATTGTTGTATCAGCAGATATAAAAACAGCCAGGGAAATGATTGAAGCCTGGGAAATGGGCTCCTCATCAGTTAACAGGAGTGCTGATTTACCACCAGCTGACCAAGTACTTAGGACAGTGTTTCTCAACCTTGGCTACTTGAAGATGTCTAGACTTCAACTCCCAGAATTCCCCAGCCAGCGAACGCTGGCTGGGGAATTCTGGGAGTTGAAGTCCAGACATCTTCAAGTAGCCAAGGTTGAGAAACACTGACTTAGGAGGCAGGGGCTTGAGAGCACAAGGAAACAACTTAATAGCCAGCCATCAACACCCCAGTCAACAATTAACAAACCACACACAACCAAGCACCATATAATCATCATACAGAAATAGCCCAAAGCACAGACGGCTGGAGGGAAGTTCCCTGAGTATGGGCTCCAGTACGAGTCCGCAGCTCGGAAGACGAAAGCTTTTTATCCTGGCGACTGACCCAGATTGGGCCCTAAATACACATACTATCACAATGGATATTAATAATGCTACTCATGCCAAGTGGGCCAATATTGGAGTTCATAAAAAGCTTCCTGGGCGAATATGAGGCTTCCTACCCTACTCAAGAAAGCTTCAGGATTTTTCAACATAACAGAGAGACACAAAAACACATGTATCTCCATCACCTGGCTATGTTGAGGTGGGTAGGAGTTAAGAGTTGGATATTTTCTCAGTGTTTAGGTGCATTAGAATGTAAGAAAAAAACGTTGGTGCAAAAAAAGAGACGATGTTCTTGATGTGTCAAACTCGATGTGTCACGTTGGTGTCATGTGACATGCCATGACTCCCCCTCCCTTTCGCTAAACTGGGCATGGGTATCCAGCGGGTATCGCATCCAAGCCACAAGTTTGACAGCCCTTTGGTAACGTAAAATATATATATAACCGATATTTCTTCACTTTACAAATTATGACATCAAAGAGTTCTTGAAAAAATTGGGGCAGAATCCTAGGTCAGCAAGAAAACCAAAGCTAACCCCAAGAGAATGTCATCATTTGGTTGAAACCACCACCACCCCCGCAAATATCTGTCCACAGCATCGAAGCAGACATTTATATAAAGAGGCTTTATTTATGTACATAGGAATGTGACGTTCACCACTCTCCTTACAAAGAAATCTCTGAATTGGACAAATAATCTAGAAGTTTCTTTAATCCAATAAATTCTCATGTATTTACATTCAAGTTTACATTATGTACTTCAAGTTCCATATTGGAAGCCACTGGGAGATTTCAGCTTGCCTCTTTTCTTAACGCGAGAATATGTTGGGTGAGGGAAAATGAACATCTGGAGAACATTGGATGGATACTCTGTTCAATGGTCCTCCAGTTGAAACGGATCCAAGGAAACCACTTTCTCTTTCTGTTAGGTGAGTGTTGCTCTGTCACCACCACCCAAAACATCTATGGCGGGATGCAAAATTCTCCTCCACCTCTCCAATTTACGGATGAAATCACTCTCAGCAATTTCTTAAGATTTTTCTGATCCTCCATCCAGGGTAATCTGAACATTCTTCTTTTGTTTATCACAATCCCTTGCCTTGAGTGCCAAAGCTGGGTACTGTTTATGGAAGTGGTGGGTAGCATCTGTGATTTCTCGCATTTTGGTAACATTTACAACCCGACAAGATCAGAAACTTTTCTACCAACGCAGCTGGGATCTTTTCTACCAACGCAGCTGGGATTTCAGATTTCAGCTGGGATTGAGAAATATCGTTCCCACATCCTGCTGTTCCAAAGGCAGGCTACAGCAATCCTATGTGCATTGGCTAGCTCAGCATAATCAATACTGCATTTTAATTTTTTTTTAAAAAAAAAAAGTTACAATAGAAAAATAGTCCGCAGTTTGCTAATATGAAAACAAACATGCCACAAAAAATCCAGTTTAGGATGCTTATTATTCTTGCTTATTCCAACAGGTAAGTTCTCTGTGCAAGGTGAACATCTGGCAACATTAATGCCATTTTTCTTCTTTCATGGAAAAACGTAGATTTAGCTTTCCCAGTTATTCCAGTTTCAATATAAATATCCTGCCCCCTGCCTTATCAAAGAATTAACGACGTCTTCATCTCTAGAGTGCTTCTAAGATATGCAGGGCAGCTACCTGAGGAACCCAAAGAAGAATAGATGGTACGGCTATTTCTTCAGACAAATGTTCTTTCACCTGTCCAGAAAGCTCTGAGGAGGTTTCTTGGATCTTATGAAATGGGGAAGATGTTTTAAGAGGGTTATCCTTCATATACGGAGTGTAAGAAACAAAACCTGGCCAACCGGAGCATCTGGAAGGAAATAGGGCCACACGAATAAAAAAAACACCTCCGTTCTTCAT